TTGATGAAATCACTGTCTTTGATGAAATCACTGTCTTTGATGAAATCACTGTCTTTGTCTGTCTTTGATGAAGTCACTGTCTTTGTCTTTGATGAAATCACTGTCTTTGATGAAATCACTGTCTTTGATGAAATCACTGTCTTTGATGAAATCTTTGATGAAATCACTGTCTTTGGATCAACGGAATTTGAGGACTTCTTTCAATTCCTTGGCTAATGTTTGCACACATAAAAAGTCGGACAGAACTCACGTAAAAAGACTGTCAGAACACACTTGAAAAGTTGGACAGAACTCACGCAAAAAGACTGTCAGAACACACTTGAAAAGTCGGACAGAACACACTTGAAAAGTCGGACAGAACACACTTGAAAAGTTGGACAGAACTCACGTAAAAAGACGGACAGAACACACTTGAAAAGTTGGACAGAACTCACGTAAAAAGACGGACAGAACACACTGAAAACGACGGACAGAACACACGTAAAAAGACGGACAGAACTCACGTAAAAAGACGGACAGAACACACGTAAAAAGACGGACAGAACTCACGTAAAAAGACGGACAGAACTCACGTAAAAAGACGGACAGAACTCACGTAAAAAGACGGACAGAACACACTGAAAATGACGGACAGAACACACGAAAAACGACGAACAGAACACATAGGGGACTGAGCTCATTTCTTTGCATGCAGCAGACACCAGTCCCGGAGAAAATGTCAACTGAATAACCACAAGGTCATTATTTTAAAACTTGGAAACGGTTACGAACATTTCGAATTTTAAATCCTCTTTTCCCGGTAGAGTTGATGATTTCCTTGAAGGAAGAGTTGATGATTTCCTTGAAGGTAGAGTTGACCATTTCATTGACAAGGTAGAGTTGATGATTTCATTGACAAGGTAGAGTTGATGATTTCATTGACAAGGTAGAGTTGATGATTTCATTGACAAGGTAGAGTTGATGATTTCATTGAAGGTAGAGTTGATGATTTCATTGAAGGTAGAGTTGATGATTTCATTGACAAGGTAAAATCTTGGGGAATAGAAAATATTCTTTCGAAGCACCATTGAGTGCATCACTTCTGATCTTTAAGTTGAATTAGCAAGAGAAATGAAACTTTTCAAAGAGTTTTACTAGGGAGATAAAAGATTTCAAGCACTTAATTTGAAAAAGTCAGTGCTTTACAGTCCACAAATTCCCTTATTTTCTTTTTGTAGCTGTTGTGTTTGAACTCTGTACAAATGGTCACACCGTCGCCTCTTTATTGCATGGATGGTTTTGTGACAGATAATTATCACATTTGTAGTTGGGATCTCTTAGCTGGCTCCGCAACCCAAGCATCAAGGGCTATAGGCTATATATAGATACACACACACATTTATATATATA